ATATATATATATGGATTAAAAAAAACATGAAAAACATTACAAAAATTGTCTAATATTTATATTTCTCATTAAAACTTTCCCAAAATGTAGCTTGTAGGTACATAGTTGAAACTTGGGTGTAATAATTCCTTAACTGTCAAAGTTAGCCAAATTCCTTTTTTTCTCAATGATTTTTAGAGCTACCATTATCCCCACACAAAAAAAGAAACCCCCCCCAAAAAATATAAAAACAACTTTGTTTTGAGGAAAAATTTAAAAGACAATGTGTACCAAGAGCTTCTTCTTGTTTTCCACTCATAAACCACACGAAGTCCAACCCTCAATCAGAAAAATCATCTGCTCTGTCAGTATTTATTCTCCTGCACTTTTCACCTAAACAATTTCTTATTTAAAAAACCAGACTTCACATCTGACAGAAACAGTCTTTTCAAAACATAAACCAATTAAAAGAGGAGCTTCAGTACTTTTGTGAAGGTCATTTCAAATTTAATGAACAACATGACTCTAATTAAGATCCTGTGTGAAAGGATTCTTTTTTTTTTTTTTTAAGTTTTCAGCATTCAGGACATTCCAGGAAATTAAAGCAGTGACTGAGCTCTCTGTTTTCTTTTCTGTAACGACCTCTGCTGAAAAGGTCTTCAGAGTTTCGATCAACAAAGCATCACGACCCATCATCATCGTCATCATGGAGAGCTATCACAGATAAGATGTGCTCGACTGATTCAAGACGTCAACATGTGGAGAAATAAACAACCATATTTAACCACTGTCAGCATCTAAATCATGTCCTGATATAAAAATGTTCAACTTTATCGATTCATTGTTTGTTTGGTCATTCTTGAGTGGATGATCATATAATTGTGTCTGTCTGTGCATTTGTTTGTCTGTTGGCGAAATATCTAATGATCTAGGGTACAGAAAGTATTCAATGGATGTAAATCTCAGATTCAAAATGGCTGCCATAGGAAATTAACTTTGACAATTATAAATGGGTATAACTCAGTCATTTTTACAGATATTGAGATACAATTAAGTGTGGTAGCTGATAAACACTCCAGCCACTAAAAGATTTAAAAGTTTAACATGCAAAGGGTCAGGAAATGTGCATTCTTTATTGAATGCTGCCGTCCAGTGTCTTCTAGTTTCTAGAACAAGGCAGATGGGGACGATGCACATACTGCAGCTTAAGAGAGGATTTCCTGAGGCAGATGTCTGCAGAGGAAAGGTTTTTGAACTGACGTTTTTATGGCACGACATAATCTTCATAACTACACTCAGATACCAAAGACAACCTCTCTCTCTGCTGTGAGGTGTAAACCTTTAGTGTTCTGAAAACCGTTGTATCCAGGTACCAAATTTATAACAGTTTGAATTTGAAATATATTAGGTTCATACTGTAAGAAATTCAATAAAAATAAAAGTGAGTGTGTGTATTCGAATGTTTTTGTGTAAAATGCTGTGAGAGAAAGAGCCCTGTGTCAGGCCTTTATTCCCTGACATCTGCACGCATGTTGAGCAGCAGCTCTGACCTTTGACCTCTTCACTGAGTGTCTCACATGCTGCTGTGTCCTTGGTCTCTGGAGTCGCGGAGACGTCCAGCGGCCCGGGTTCGGAGGTCGCGGCGAWGACAGCGAGCACCTTGCTGCGAGACTCCTATCTGCCCACCAAAATAAACAAAGGCGAGTCTGCCGCAGCCCTCCGACAGCACACCCTGTCTAACGCCGAGCCAGAGGCTGGAGATTAAACGCAGGGGACGCACAGGATCCGCCCTCCTCGGAACCAAAATACTGTCAGGGTCGAAGGTGGAGCTGCGAGATCACAGTCAGCTTTTATCCCAGTGACATTGTTTCAGAGAACGTGGCCTTACTGCAGCGAAGGGGGCTGCTTTCCTTTGCTGGGGTCTCGTTTTAGGATCTTTTCACCACCACCTGGTTGTCTTTCTCTTGTCTCTGATCACACATCAGTCAGTGGGGCTCTGAAAGGCTGCATGTGTCTTTTAGTGCACCTGAAAAACTCCAATTTGCTCCGAATTTTCTTCATGGAAAGGTCAGAAGTGTTTAATCAAAATAGATTCTTACTGTTTCTAATGAATCTGAGAACGGTAAAACCTATAAAGATTGTGGCTTTAATCTGATTATAAACTGACAAATTAAAACCTGAACACCTATTAAAAACTATATTTTGATTGGGCATCAAAAGAGCAAATCCTGGCTTAATCATTTTTAATTGTATTTTTGCAGGAAAGTCAGAAGAAGCAGAGATCTGTGGCATCAACCATCTCTGAAGCATCTGGACATTTACAAAAACGATGGCCGGGTGGGAGACAACAAATTACTTATCTGTGTAATTTATTCAGAATACGCTTCTTTTCTAGATTGCAGCCTGCAACCTATTTATGCAGCATCTCTCAGAAGTGGTTCGGCTGAGCGAGGAGCCAGGAAGCTGGTTCCAAAGTCTCTTTGTGCGCGCTCTCTGCTTTGTTTCAAAAAGCATTGCTGCACTTTTATTTTGCTGTTCTGCGACAAACTGAATGTGAGCAAAACAAAACTAGAAATATAACTCATCCAATAATTAAAGYCCCTTCTTAAACTTAAATATTTACAATTTCAGATAAATCAAAGTTAAATAAAGAAGCATCCCCAGAGGAGAAGTTGCTGACATCAGAACAGTCACTATAACCAGCTGTCATTATCCTCTGTGCAGCTATGTGGACATTTTTGTGGTTTTGGTTTGAGGCAAAAAGAAGACCTCAGTGTGAGTCTTCTGCCCAACAGAACCAGGACTTTTTCTTCAGGGAATAAATTAGAGGTAGAGCACCCACCCACAGGGTAAGAGAGGTTAACAAATATGTCAAGTATCAACCATTTAAATACCAGCTGTATACACGGACAAGAAGATATATGGTTGCAGCTTTTATACYTGAAATATTAATATAACTCGGAAAATAAAAGGATGTTGCCTTAGACCAGGGGCGCTCAAAATTTATGAAAATGAAAATCTATCTGAGAGCTTTGAGACAAATTTAATAATACAATACATGAAATATAAATACTTTTCAAGTACAGTTTTTTTTAATTGATCAAGCTAACAGTGCAGTAACTCACAGTTTTTATTAATAATTTTTTAGCCCGTGTATATGGAGAAAGTTTGCTATGCTTGGGCACCAAAGGCTCATAAGATAAGATAAGATAAGATAAGATAAGATAAGATAAGATAAGATAAGATAAGATAAGATAAGATAAGACTTTATTGATCCCACAGTGGGGAAATTTGAACATTGCAGCAGCTCAAAACAGTGGAGTTGCAGTAACAGGCTGCCTGATGTGGCGCCAACTTAGAAACAAAGAAAAACTGAAAAAAACACAAAAGGGAAGGGAATATGAGAAAAATGCTAAAACATCATATTACGTATATCAACACTGTGACGCTATGGTGTTTATGAAAAAAAATCTCTGCATAGAGCAAGTTTATTAGCCAGAGGCGTAAGTGAGTTTAAGAGGGCCCGAAGAATCCAGTCCCCAGACCAGTGTAGCCATGGTTCAGAAATATTGATGGAAAACTGTTCATTTCTGTGCAGCTCACAGCCTTCCCTGGAAACACAGATTAGACGGGTGAAAGGAGGGGGGAAGGAGGGGGCAGAGCCTCTGTCGACACATCCAGAATGTCATGGGACATTCCATTAAGTTTATTTTAGTTTTTGGGGTCTTAAAGTGTGCAAATCTACATGTGTGCTTAAATCTAATCTAAATGTATCTTGTAGTTACTATATTTCATGTTTAATCATAATATATCAAAGATAAAATAAGTACTGAGTGAAGACTTTCTGCACTACAGCCCCTTATATAATCATTGGGCCAGTGGATGGAATGACTTTAGGTTACAACCTAATAATCATGGCAACTGCTGGTAGACCAAATCAAATAGCTTGGCGGGCCAATTTTGGCCTGCGGGCCCTACTTTGGTCACCTCTGCTTTAGACAAAAACATCGGCTAAATATTGTCTGAAAGTCTGGCATGAATTGCAAAAAGTTCTATTGGATGTTTTGTTACTTTTATTGTAAACTTTATTTTAAATGTGCTGCTGATTTACAAACTGTTTTAAAATAGAAGTTTGGTTTAACTGAGTTATTTTTTATGTGGCATGAAAATAAACTTCGCTCCTATTGCTCTTTGTACTTTTATTTATTCTATTGTATTACAATTCAATTGGAGTATTTCTGACGAAATGCTCCTGCCCCCCCCCCCATTTTTACACTAGTCAGCTCTTTCAAATGACACTTTAACAACAACAACACAAACCAAACAACAAAT